GGTTGCTATGATGAGTTTTCACCATTTGCTCTCCAGTTTTCAAAATGACGTCCATGCAAGAGGAGCAGCGTGTCAAAATTTTGCTCACGCTGCAAGACAATCCTATACGTTCTCACACGCCAAGTTGGAAAAATTGCTGGATGTGGCCAAATCGACCGTGACAAACGTTTTAAAAGTGTTCGGGGAGCGTCTGCCAACCGCCAGGAAGCCTGGAACCGACGGCAATCGTAATCCGGACGTGGCAGCGACGACGAAGAAGGTGACGGTAAAATATAAGCGGAATCCTAACCTCTCCATCCGGGACGTCACTGGCAAGCTCAATGTCTCCCATACTACTGTGCAGCGGGACAAGAAACGAGCCGGGTTGTCGACGTTTAAGAAGGTGAAGGTGGCGAACCGAGATTACAAACAAAACACGTCGGCAATGCAGCGGTCCCGAAAGCTGTATACGAATCTGCTCACAAAGTTCGACTGTGTCGTCATGGATGACGAAACTTATGTGAAGGCGGATTTCAAGCAGTTTCCGGGACAAGAGTTGAAGAGGGAAGATGGCTGAAATTTTCAAAACCATCAAACTATCGAAGTTCCCGAAAAAATATCTTGTCTGGCAGACCACATGGACGTGTGGTCTAAAAAGCGGCATTTTCGTTACTGCGGGAACCAAAAATCAAGAGATCTACGTCCAGGAGTGCCTGGAAAAGCGACTGCTACCATTCCTAAAGCAACATAATAGACCTGTGCTGTTCTGGCCGAACTTGGCGAGCTGCCACTATGGGGAAAAGGCAATCGAGTGGTACGATGCGAACAACGTGGTTTTGGTATCCAAAGACCACACCCCTCCCAACAGCTCAGAACTCCACCCTATCGAACGTTATTGGGTTTAAATCTAATTGGCGTTCGGCGGCGAATAAGGTCGATGAGACCACTGTGCAATATTTAATGGAAGGGGTTAAGCGAAAGGCACGGCAGTTCGGATTTGGCAAACCAAAAGAATAAACGAACATTTTTTCCATTAAATATATGAATTGAACTACCAAAAGAAAAATAAGAAGATTTTTGTGATATGAATTTTGGCTGAAAGAAACGATTTTTTTGTCGACCAATTTTTGTGCCTTCCAGTCTTTATTCTCGATACTGACGTATTCCAGAGCCTCCATCTTGCCCAAGGCCAAAAATTTCGAGAGCAACATTCATCTCGATAGACACTTCATCAACCATATCGCATTGGTTTTAGAAAACCACCTTTTCAGGGCCACCAAAAGTGTATGCAAAAGATTTTATATTTTAAATTCACTAGGGTAGATAACTACTTCGGCCTAACCGCCCATTTTGGGCCTATCGAGCAGAAAACTTCAAATAAATCCAAGATTTCAGAGTTAACAAGTAAATTATGCGTTTGGTACGATGTTTTAGTTAATAAGCTACCGAACGAAGTCAATGAGAACGCGTGATATGAAGATTTGCACCCATTATTCCCAAAAACAAAAGAAGCGCTCGGATCGAATCAATTTTTATCTTCATCCGATAGGCCGAAGTGAATTCTTTGGCGTTTCAATGGCGTTTCAATGCGTTAGACCGAGTTTAGAATCCGTAAGCCGAATTTGGCGTCAAGAAGCAGTGTTAGACTTTTAACAATATCTCAACAATTTGTTTCTCTTTATCAAATCTTACGGTACGTACGGAAAGGTAAATAAATTTGAAAGCCATCAGTACTAATAACATTCCGTTTGGTGCTAAACTGCGCTAGGTTAAGCACAGCCTATTAAGCACAACCAAGTGCGGGTTGTGCTTAATAGGCCGGAAATGGGGTAGTTAACCCTATATTATAAAACAATATTCGAATCGTTGACCCAGCGAATCGGACAAAATATTATCGTAGTCCTACGTCAGCAATGTGGTTGTGTCTCGGACACCACCCTCTAACTGGTCCACACCTTCTTCTTCTTTTTTATAATGCGTTTATTTTTCCAGGCACATTTGCTGTAGCTTTGCGGAGCCGATATTCATTGTTTAGATTACAAAATTACTTAAAACTAACGTTATACCCCGTTCACATTACAGCGTATATCACGTGATATACGCTGTCTTGCAATGAGCACTCATATATCTAGTTTTCACTGGAAATCCTATGTATGAGTGCTCATTGCAAGACAGCCTATATTACGTGATATAGGCTGTAATGTGAACGCGGTATTAGCAAAGTGGGGCCGATTACTCGCGGCTATCTCGAGGTTTAGGGGTAACAAATTGTAACAAATGGATGGCAGGGTAGGGATTGTGAACACAAGGTTTGGAGAGCAATGTGCTCTTGATCTCGAACTAAGCGACGACACACCTTCTTCAATCACAGCGATTTTGACGTAGGATTACGTCTTTCGGCAACATATTGGGGGTGCAATTTCAAAAAACCAAAATCGACCGCATTACGAAAAGAGGTCAGGTTTTGACCACGTATAACTCTGTCTGCCAATATCAGATGGATTTTAATTCTAAAGAAGAAAGTGTTGCAATGGTGATCAAAATTATCACCGATTGCCTGCAAATAGCGCATTCCCTAACACAGATTTAAAAATCGAATTCGAGCCTGTCTCACTGAACGGTGCTCATTCAATCGCGGTGGTGTCCGGTCGTCGGAGTCAGCAGCAGCAGCATCAGCAGCATCAGCAGCAGCAGCAGCATCAGCAGCAACAGCATCAGCATCAGCAGCAGCAGCAGTGCTTTCATCGTGTGGCGTTAACATTGTTCTCCAGTACACCACGAAAGACAGCCTGCAAGCAGCGAGCTGCAGGCCCACATGAGCATCCATAGAAGGAGGAAGAAGCCGCACCGCTATGAGTCGCAGTGGGTCATCTATGCCAAGCGCGTCAACCCTTGCTCCAAATAACATACAGCTCACCAGCCTCATCTTTGTTGAACACCCTAAAAGCTCAGCATTAGTCAACCATCACGACAAAACGGTCCTTTTAAGGACTACCATAAAATTTGTTAAAGAGTATGTTTTGGATATTTGTCAAGGTCGTCAATCGGATGTCGGTTCCCGCAAGCAGATAGCTAGCTGCTAGGCTCAACATGGTCTATAGAAGGTATGGAATTGTAGGTCTAAATGTATTGATGCAATCTGTGAGTCATCTATGCCAAGCGCGTCACCCGCGTTTCAAACAACATACAGCTCGCCAGCCTCATCCGTGTTGAACAACCTAATAGCTCAGCATTACTCAACCATTACGACAAAACGGTCCTTTTAAGAATCACCATAAATTATTGTTGTTTTAGAGTTAATTTTCATTGAACGTTCGCTCGCCTTTCTGCCAGCTAAATCATCCCCAAAGCTCTTTGATATTGTACCCAGCAACCAAACGTTTGTCGTCAAATGCGTAATAATATTGAAGGGACATACAAAGAAGTATTCTCGCAATGACCGAATATCACATGACCATGTCAATTAACCAGAGACACTCCGTAAGGTTTTCTCCAGGAAGCTGGCAAAAAATCTCGAATTTATATGATTGATCGCGGTTGGAAAAAATTCAGCAAGAATTTCCTACAATCAATATTCGCTTTTTTTTAATTATCTATTGAATAAAACAAAAATTCCGTTCATTTTGTGCACGTAAATGCGTAATTTTGTTATCAGAGAACGAAGCGTTTCCGTGATGGGAAAAGTGGTTTCCCTAACACAGTCGCCAAATATTGATACCAAGCACTGAGCATGCCAGACGGTACTGATCTTTAAGCCTTTTGGTGCAAATTTTAAGCCACTCCTATTAAGTGCATTGTGCCAAAAAATAACCTTGTCGAAGTCGCTTAATAGAATAAGCCCCTTCTATTAAGCGACTTGCTTAAAAAAGTATGAACGTAGGTACCGTCCAGTAGGCTCATATTCTGTGATTGATGTGTTTTCCCTAGTAGGAGAAATGATTTTAATGTTGGCCTATGGATCTAAGACCCATCGCTAAAAATCTGCTATTTTCAATTTTATCTAGATGAACGCGTCATCGGGACGGTACTAATGGATATTTTTGGTCGCCATTGAAAATTTAGTCGATTGCTGAATTTATGTATGGGCCGTTTAGGCCGACATTGCATTCATTTCCCCTACATATTTCATTTTCGCACTGCTATCATTGCCAAAAACATCGAGGAAAAATCTCCACAGTATTGTTCTTAACTAGCTTCCAAGCTTCCAACCCATCGGTTCTTTTCTGGACCACAAATGACTGATAAAAGAGTTCACTAAAAAGTAAGATCTTGTTTCCAAGACATACCGTTCAGGATTGGCTTGTACTACATGGACATCGACAGAGTACCTCACAAACAGGACTCTCAAATTGCTTCCGAATTTCAACTTATCGAAATTTTTCACTGATAACGAGCTGAGAAATCAATTTAATATTTACTATACTTTTGCTATGACTACCTTTCGTAATCCTACGTCAAATCTACGATCTTGTCTTGGATACAACATCTTACTTTTTTTTCATTTCAAATAAACCTCTGTTCAAAACTACACTTTAAATAATGTTGGATCATTTGCACTTTCATTGGGTTCTTCAATTTATAAAAAAAAAACGTTTTTATACACCATCTGGAAAAGCTTCGTTTTCTGAGCACAACGATATTTTTTTCGAACCCATAGACTTTTATCTTGATTTTTAAATAAAGATTTAAAGCAAAACAATAACTCCACAGTTTGACACTAAACTAACAAATTGACAGCTCGCTTCCATACAAAGTCCAACGGTGGAGCGCTAAGATGGTGATTTTTGCTAACCCAGCAAACAATTTATGCTGATTAAAAGCTCAATAAGCTATTTTTTGCCTGAATAAGCTCTTATCTAACTTTCAATGTTTGTTGGGAATATAATCGCACTTATTTAAAATAGTTCCAGTGTACCAACATTGTTTTTAATGCAAAATACGAATATGCATTAACCTCAATACCATTCAAGACACCAATTGAAGATTTTCATATTAACAGGTTGAAAATACGTTGTACTTACTAAAACAAAAATCAACAACAGCCACAGCTGAGAACAATTTCCACCCAGCTGACGTTAGTATAATGTTAATGATTCGATGAACATTAACTCGTGACACACATCTGTAAAGACAGACACATCAGTTCGGTACAAACTGGTTTCCACCTTTTGTTTGCATTTTTTTTATTCCACTCAGCGATTCTAGACTAGCCCTTCGCATACAAAAAAAAACACTTCAAGGCTGACATTGATTGAATTCTCTACACCGCGCCGGGCAATGAAATCATCGACTGAAACACTTTTTTCTTCATTTAAAACGACCATAAAATATTTCCCCAACAACAAAATGTTGCAAAAATAAACCACCTATTAAACCGTACCACTTTCACACACAAAGAAGAGTAACTAAACTAAAATGTAGGCACACAAAACCATCGGTCGAATCGAAACCGTATCGAATAAAAACTCTACTCCTTGATTTGAAAATCAACAAGTCCATAAACGATTCAAGCACGAGCGAAAGTAACACTAAATTTTCTTCCTTCTATTATTTGACCTTTTCTTGTGCAAACTAACTTAAACAACCGTGAGGGTCACATTAATGCTTGAAAGCGACGCCAACAAAATTCAGAATACTTGCCAAATAATTTTATTAAGCATGCTCTCTGACTCATACTTTTGTTGAATATAATTTCATTCGCACAAAGCCCATTTTTAGTTGCCCCTGGCAAGCACTGTTCTTCGCATTGCTTCGTCGAATGGCATCCTTAGAATTCACTTAATCATTTCTAATCGGCGATACAGACTTTTATTGCTAATTCCATAGCTGCTGTAGGTACAACCCGCATAAATTCTACGCTGGTGCCCTACTGACAACTAGCAACTCACGCGAATTACACTCACACAATGTTGAATCGGAACACGCCTTTCGCCTTATAAGAACTGCGTCATCATCAACACAACAACATTAGCAACAGTGATCCATTGAACTGAATCGACTGAAACTGAAAACACGATCGCGATCGACGACGGTTACGGTACAACTGACTCTACTGGCTGGCTGGAGTGTGAAACCCTCTCGCTGTTTCCGTCTGTTTCTTTTTTGCTTGCAGAAAAATGAGTTCGAGTTCGACATACCTACAACCGAGAGGAGAGAGTGGGTTGTTTTGCTTCGTACCTCTACAGAGAGTTGATATCAACTCAGACTCAACTAAAGATTCTGTAGAGTAGCGATGTGCTACCGGTAAAGCAAGAGATCGCTTCTATAGAACATCATACACAGAAAATAGTTTTCATGAAACGCACATGATTTTCAACCATAATCAAAATTAAAGGAATTCATCTGAGTTTCACATTTATGCGATCATATTAATTTTATATGATTTTTCATATAAATTTCATCGGCTTCATCATATTCATGTGATTTTGTGGTGGGATTTGCAGCTATGTGATCACAGGAAAGCTATGTGGAATTCACATGGATTTCATCCATTAGATATGTGATGAATTTTTTGAGTGTAGGCCCGGAGAAGTTTTCAGATGGGTTCAATCAACGGTACAATTAAGCCAGCTTAAGCAAATTAACACTATTCATATATGTAGTCAGAACAAATGTACCATGTCTATATGATCCAATTATTATAATTATTATTATTTATTAGCGACACTCCATGACTTGTGTGTCGGATACGAACCAACAATTTACTCTACTCGAAATTACTAACAATAGCAAAATTCATGATGCAAAGTGACAGCATAATGTCTTGTTCGCACTACAACCATAGAGGTAACTCTAAGACTAGAAGGTCCCAAAGAATCGTGCTCAACTTTTTGGCTCAGCTCTGGTACTATCTTCGGTCCCAAGCTAATCGATGCATCCCTCGAAACATAGGAAAATCCACGAACCCCTCATTTTATCTGTCAAACATTCATAGCGAATCAAAACAAACATAGTATATAGTAATAGAATTTCGACTAGAATGGGGTACGTTAATCGATTTGCCTGGGACAAATAGGCTAGTCAAGAAGTGAGTCGATTTAAAATCGTTAGTTTTTTTTTTTTTTTGGTTTGTTTTTTTTTTCCGTCGATCTTGTTTTCCGTGCTGAGCACCAATGCTACCGACGTGCCAGGAAGGCAGCTCCCACACCTGGACCCTCTACATATCGACCCATCAACTCATGAACCGGGGACCAACGGCTTTTCTTCCCATCCGAAGGAAGGCGTGATCAGAGATGTTATGCCTCAGAACATCCCGGCGGCGCCGACTGGGATTGAACCCAGGCCTGCTGGGGTGAGAGGTAATCACGCTTACCACTACACCACCGGCGTCGTTTAAAATCGTTAGTTTCCACCGATTGCTGCAACCGTTGTAACATGTTTTAATAACTATTGAAAAGACAAAATATAGGGTTGTGTCCTAGACACGACCGCTGTATGACGTAGAACTACGCAAAATTGATGTAGGGGAAATGGCTCTAATGTTGGCTTATGGATCTAAGATTGGGCTCATCGCTAAAAGTCTGCTATTTATCAATTTTATCTTGATGAACGCGTTATTGGGACGGTACAAATGGATATTTTTGGTCGCTATTGAAAATTTAGTCGATTGCTGAATTTATGTATGGGCCCAAATTAGGGACATCCATTTCCCCTATGTCATGTATGTTTGACTATTATACTTTATCTTAAATTGTTCAAGTATTTCATTGTTTCGGTTATGGTTCAATGTTGGTTCAAGTATTTTTCCTGGAATTTAATAAATTCAAATGTGGGGTCCTAAACGAGCCGAAATATATTTTAGAGGAGCACTCCAGTATAGTCCACAAAGACGTCATGCATGTTGTGGGATAAAACAATTGCCAAAAAAAGTATGTTAATTTTTTTTTTAGTTTTGAATTAGGTCTCTGAAGCAGAGAAGAAAGTGAAGGTTGCTTTTTATGATAACGCAACAGGCAGTTTTTTTTCCTTATCAGAAAACGGTACTTTCAATAGGCCTTTTTAATGGGAACTAAACGATCGATTGAGCCTCTGGTGGTGAATAGGAGAACGTCAAAAAGAGTGTTGTGAGCAGAAATTTTTGCCTTGAGGAAGCGGAACACTTTTTTACTTTTCCTGAGAAATTGATTCATCTGAGATGCTCGAAAACTTAATCTACAGTCGAAAATTTTTATTCTGTAACGTTTTTGCAAAGATCCTGTTGGTGTTCAGGAATATTTTTGTTGAGAAAAATGGAAAATTAGAAAAGTGCCTTAGTGGTTATGATCTTCCGGATTTCTTGTGTGTGAATAGTTAAGGTACAAATCAGTTCAGATCTGTGGAAAATCGTACAATAAGACAATTACCGATAGAAATTGGCAAGATGTTGAATAAAAAAATGCTTTAATTTGCGTCGTGAAAAATAGTTATTTTGATGTAAACAAGCGGTTTGGTTGACGTTTCTTCTCGAACTCGCGTGGCGCACTCAACGTCGGTGGTATGCATTAAAAAGGCGTATATTGAACAAAATGTTGGTTCATATGTGAGCGAAGTAGGTAAGGAAGGGTTTAAGCACCTTTTTATTCTCCAATTTGGAGGACAACCCTGACATAAAATTATCATGTACAAGGAATCAAAAATATCTCCAAATGACAAAATAACAAGCGATCAACGAACCGAATAATAACGCTATGTCAGAAGTTGAAAACAATAATGATATAGTCAGCAGAGGATCAACTTTCTCCGTTCAATTTGCGGCACATGGTGGGGTGCTCATCCGGGAGACCTCATAACGCTTTATAAAACAACTATTCTCTCTGTTCTAGAGTACGGCTCTTTCTGCTTTCTCTCGGCAAGAAAAAGTCACCTAATAAAATTGGAACGAATTCAATATCGTTGTCTGCGTATTGCTCTAGGCTGTATGCACTCAACGCATAACATGAGTCTCGAGGTTCTGGCAGGAGTAACACCCCTCCAGAACCGTTTCTGGGAGCTCTCTCTCAGAATACTAATCAAATGCGGAGTGACGAACACACTTATAATTGCTAATTTTGAAGAAATTCTTGGGTTGAACACACAATCTCGATTTATGAGAATCTACCACCACTACATATCATCAGATATGTGTCTTCCTTGTTATACTCCAGACCGTGTTCACTTCACCAATCGCAGTTCCTCAATTGAATATGATCTGACCATGAAACAAGCAACTCATGGGATTCCCGATCAACTTCGACCTATTATTATCCCACGTATTTTTACTGAAAAGTACCAACAAGTCAATTGCATGAAAATATATTTTACAGACGGGTCCCGTCTCAATGGATCCACTGGCTTCGGTGTCTTCAATGAAAACTCTAGCGCCTTCCGCAAACTTCAGGAACCTTGTTCCGTTTTTGTTGCTGAGCTGGCAGCAATCAACTTCGCATTGGGGATGATTTCCAATATGCCCACAGACCATTACTTCATCTTCTCGGATAGTCTCAGTTCGATTGAGGCTATTCGGTCGATGAAACAAGGTAGGCACTCATCTTATTTCCTTTCAAAGGTAAGGGAGCAGATGTGTGTGCTGGTCGAAAGATCATATATGATTACCTTTGTATGGGTCCCCTCACATTGCTCAATCCCAGGCAATGAGAAGGCGGACTCTCTCGCAAAGGTGGGCGCGCAGGAAGGCGAATTGTATGACAGGCAAATTTCACACGATGAATTTTACCATTTAGTGCGTCAGAGTACCTTTTCGAGTTGGCAAACCGATTGGGACACTGGAAATCTTGGACGGTGGTTACATTCAATTATTCCTAATGTTTCTTCGAGAGCGTGGTTTAAAGGCTTGGGCTTAAGTCGTGACTTCATTCGCGTGATGAGTAGACTTATGTCCAACCACTACTCGCTAGATGCTCATCTCAATAGAATAAACCTCGTGGACAGCAACATCTGTCGGTGTGGAAACGGTTACGATGACATCGAACACGCAGTTTGGCAATGTACGGATAATGACGCCGCCAGAGAGCGACTTTTGAATACCCTCGAGGCCCAAGGAAGACAACCCTATGTTCCTATCAGAGACGTGTTGGCAACCCCTGATCTCTGCTATATGCAGTCCGTTTATGTTTTTCTTCAAATGTCTAGTATAAGAATTTAATTCCTTTTGTCTTTTGTCTCTCTTTATTAGTTTTTGTTTGTCTTGTCCCCCCGTCTCGATGAGTCTCATCGTCGCCCACTGGTCACCCACCATAGCCGGTTGAACTCCGGACGAAGCTAGAACAGCACTACCGTTCATACTGGCGACAACGCTCTGATGAGACAACGAAACCCTACCCCAAGCTCCTCCCCTGATCCTATCCTTCGAAAATGTACCCTTCTAACCTCGAGTAAGCCGCGAGTAATCGGCCCAACTCCTACTAGACATAGAATTAAGTGAATTTTGTTACACACAGTGAACAATGAATTATCGGCTCCGTAAAGCTAACGCGATTGAGCCTCCCAAATAAACGAACTAGATAAAAAAAAAAAAATAATGATATAATCTTCACCGTTCTTTTTCATGACAAGCAGCTCGTGCGACCCGATTCATTCGGGGCGGTAGAAGGAAACGAGCAAATTGTTGGCAAGCTGCTTCACGAAGTAAAGCCGAAGATGATACACGTGTGTTAATGGGAATTTTTTTGTTATGTCTTTTCCCG